ATTGCAGGTTTGACATGCTATTTATTTTAATGACATCAGGTTTGATATGCTCTTTAGTTATATATTTGTAATATATATAACTATGAAAGTCTTAAAAATTCATCTATGTACCACTACAATCATCTGGTCTGTCAATGGTGGTGCGTTTCTTAAACTATGGAAAATATTAAGTTAAATCGAATTAAACATTGACTAATGTTGGCCTAATGGGTCTCCAGTTCTGAATAACAACAGCATTATAATGGAGATTTTAATTTTTTTTAAGGATTTATTTATTTTTATTCATTTATTTATGCAAGCACTGGGTACAGTCAGAGGTACACTGCTGAGGGGAGCAGCGGGCGGCAGGAGAGGTCTGCGCGCCATGTGGGACCCTCCTCCTGTGGCGGATCGAACCGGCGCTGCAGAGGCTGACGGGCATCTTCGCAACCCAGTGCTCAACGGCTGCGCCACCAGGGAGGCCCGATTTTAAATGTTTTTAACCCACTGTAGGGTAAGGAAAAAATGTCAGGCTTTTCTGCCCTCCTGCCATCAGGATAGATGATAGATCCTTGCACTCCTGAATGCATGCCTGATGGCGGGCACCTGGAATAGGGTGTGGGCATAGGTAGATGGGATTCACCTGGGCTGAGCCTGTGCTTTTTAAGGGCGGTATCACGGGGATGCTAGAAGAAGCCGAAAGAGAAGCCAAGAAGCAGCAGAACAAACAGAAGAGCAGAGAAGCAGAGACAACGCCAGAGAGCCCAGATAGAGTGAGGATTTGCTGGGGGCTGGGAGGCCTGCCAGCCTCCCGGCCCCCTAGCCCCCTTACGTGCTGTGTACTGGGTAAATCCCAATAAAAAGACCTTCAAAAAGCCACTAAGGACTCTGATTCCTCCTTTACCCGGTCTACTGGATCACAGAAAACCTGCCCTGTGTCCGGTCCTGCTTTACACCCACTAAAAGATGGGAGCATAAAATATTTAGAGCTGTAGAGAGCTAAATTGTTTCCACTGTATAAGATTATACTACAGTATTTGTTAGTTTTTGTTGCCCTTCCCTACTAAGCCCATCACTCCTGGGCCTTCGGTATATCTATTTTTGCCTTCTTTCAAGACATAGCTGTTACCCCTGAAAGTTCTGAACTCTTCAGGCTAAGGAAGAAAGGTTTGAACTGGGTTGTCTTAAGTATTTTTCCTGAGATTCCACCAGATACAGCAGTGTCATGACACATCCGCTCCAGGCCCTTTCTGGGCAACACAATGTCCCTCAATCCACATCAGGGCACTGTGCTTTAACCAATAAAATATGAAAGGAAGCATAAAAACTTTCTGTGAACCTGCCATCCAGTTCATATGCACTGTTTTAGAGGCTGGCAACTGCTATAAGAAACTAAAATAATGGATCAAAGCACTAAAATACAATTCTCAAAACGCAACTGAAAGCAATCTTCTAAAGCAAAATTAAGGTTGTAAATCTGTTCTAAGAAACAAGTATTAAATACTGCAGAATGCAACCTTTGTTTCTTATGTTTAAGCCCTCTTATTGATGTTTATTTATTCTACTAACTTCTTATTTACTGAATTAAAAGTGTATAGTTATACAAAGGGAAAGAAAAAAAAAAGATCACTTGTCGAAATAACAACATTTTTCAATTTCTTATTCTTCCTCACTGGAGCACCTTTTATTTCAAAGAGAGTGAAGTGAAGACTTTCATTTAGATGAAATGGGGTGGTCAACTTTGGTAGATAGAACATGAATGTCAAATTTCCCCTCTCAGTACAAGCTCCCTATATTTAGTAAAACTCTGGAATGGTTTCCTTGGTCCTTTAAATGGTGTTACAACAGTTGCACTATTAGTTCTGTCATCTTATAAGACAAGCATCCCTAGATAGTATTTGTATCTGGCAGCATGATGATTGGAATCAGCATTTAATTAATTGTGCATATTAAACAACTGCAATCACACATAATCTATTAACCTGGAATGCTACTGGGATGTTTCCTATTTTAGAATCCTAGAATTAAAAGAAAAAATGCACAGATGTCCTTTTGATTATCTCATTTTCAAGGACAACATTGTAAGTATTTTTAAAATTTACCAGAAGAATTTTGTGAAGTTAAATTGATTTTGCTCTAATATTGCCTGTGATGGAAAAAAAAAAAGAAATTTGGAGCTCCTGAATGCAAACCGAATACTGTAGGTAACCTGAACATAATTCCTTATCATACGTATCCCTTTATCTCAAGATCTAAAATTTCAAAATCATTCAAGGGGATGACAGAGCATTTCTTGAGAGGATATTTTAATTTTGTGAACACACCGACTGCTCTGTGGCTATGGTGATGGCTTTCTTACCTCATGCAATTTCTCTGCACAGCCACATAAGCCTTTACTAAAGCTTTCAGCAGATTTTAAATTGAATTACTCTACTTCCCCCATGTTTCTCTCTCCACAGTATAATTGTGCTGAATGATTTGATTGCTATGTGTGCTAGCAAGGGGCCTCCTTTCAGCTCCAGGGTACATCATGGGCAGACAGAAATTTAAGCATCCATTGCATTTTACTGGGGTCTACCCAGATGGAATCACAAAACCTTCCTGTAGACATTGAGGATCAGAATCCACGCTGCTAAGGATGAAGTCTGCAATCATTTTTGCAATCATTTTAATTGAGGCAATGTTGGGTCAAGAAGTAGACAGTAGGTGAGGGAGAGGGAACATCATTGCACATCTTTCCCATTTTGTATGATTATCAAGATGCTGGGGTAAGTTACGTTGTTTTTGACCCCATACCATCAGATTCATTCTCTACACTGCAACCTGGATGAAGTTTCTAAATAAATGCAATCAAGTCAGTTCCAGTTTAAAACTATTCACTGACTCTCCACTGTCCTCAGGATAAAGTCCAAATTGCTTAGCACAGATTAAACATACTTAACCATTTGACATCTGCCTGTATCATTGGCTTCAGTTCTTGCCTCTCTACTCCAGTCGACAGAATAATTTTGGGTTCTTATAATAATTTTAGGTAGACTTTGGGAATACTAATATAAAGAAACCCTATTAATTAATCTTATTTTTTTATTTATTTTAGTTGAGGTAATATTAGGATACCCCTGTTAGTTATCGATACTATAGTGCACCCATCACCAAATCACCCATAGTCCACCATCATCATCCATTGTGCTTTTATCCCTCTTTGTTCTTGTCTCTCTCCTACCTTGCCCCCCTCTGGATGCTTCATTCTATAGTCAGTTCTCAAGAGTTAGATTTTAAGCTTGTCTTTATCTGACCCTTAGTTAACTTTTTGTATATTCCATGTTAGTGACAACACCCAGTGTTTAACTTTCTCCTTTTAACTTATTTCACTGTTACAATCCCTTCCAGATCCATCCATGTTGCTCCAAATGACATGATTTTATACTTTGAGTAATATTCCATTGTGTATGTATACCACATCATCTTGATCCACTCTTCTGTTTTGGGGCATTTAGTTTAAAGAAACCTTATTTACATAAGATTAGGAGCTTGGCTCTCCTGAAAAAAAAAGAAGGGAATGGAGGCATCAGACTCCCAGACTTCAAACTATACTACAAAGCCATAATCATCAAAACTGCATGGTATTGGAACAAGAACAGACATACAGACCAATGGAATCAAATAGAAAATCCAGAAATAAACCCACAGATTTATGGTCAACTAATCTTTGACAAAGGAGCAAAGAATATGCATTGGAGCAAAGAAAGTTTGTTCAATAAATGGTGCTGGGAAAACTGGGTCGCTACATGCAAAAGAATGAAGCTTGACCACCACCTCACACCATACACAAAAATCAACTCAAAATGGATTAAAGAACTAGACATAAGACCTGAAACCATAAAATATATAGAAGGAAATATAGGCGAAACACTACGTGATTTGCACATCAAAGACATCTTTACAGACACATCACCCAAAGCAGTGATAGTGAAGGCAAAGATAAACAGCTGGGACTACATCAAATTAAAGAGCTTTTGCACAGCAAAAGAGACAATAACAAAAACAAAGAGAAACCCCACCAACTGGGAGAACATTTTTGCACCCAACACTAATGATAAAGGACTGATCACAAAAATCTGCAAAGAGCTGATGAGACTCAACAACAACAAAGAAAATAATCCAGTCAAAAAATGGGCAGAAGAGCTTAAAAGAAACTTCTCTGAAGAGGAAATGCAAATGGCCAACAGGCATATGAAAAAATGTTCAACATCACTTGTCATCAGGGAAATGCAAATCAAAACTACCATGAGATACCATCTTACACCAGTGAGAATGGCACATATTAAAAAAACTAGCAACAACAAATGTTGGCGAGGGTGTGGAGAAAAAGGAACTCTTCTGCACTGTTGGTGGGAGTGCAAACTGGTCCAACCACTGTGGAAAGCTGTATGGAGATTTCTGGACCTACTAAACATAGAGCTTCCATATGATCCAGCAATTCCACTCCTAGGTATTTACCCAAAGGACACAGAAACATCAATTCCAAAGAACACCTGCACCCCTATGTTTATAGCAGCACTGTTTACAATAGCTAAGCTTTGGAAACAACCCAAATGCCCAAAAATAGATGACTGGATCAAGAAGATGTGGTACATATATACCATGGAATATTACTCAGCATTCAAAAAAGATAAACACATGCAATTTGCAGCAACATGGATGGCGCTGGAAGGGATCATGCTCAGCGAAATAAGCCAAAAAGAAAAAGAAAAATACCGGATGGTCTCACTCATAGCAGGAATCTAGAAAACTTAAATAAGGGACCAGGAAAATGAATAACTATAAGAAAGTGAAAATCAAAATCAACAAAAAACTATGAACCAGAGACACTTTTAGGGGGCGGGGGTAGGAGGGGAGGGATTGGGGTCAGAATGGGGGGGCTGCAATTGTATGGGGAATATAACAATAAAATTTATTAAAAAAAAAAAAAAGATTAGGAGCTTGGAAGGAGAGTGCCCACACATGTGTGAACTACTTACCTGCTGTAGCAAACATACATGTGACTCTATTTCCCCCTCCAGTGGAACTGAGGCTAGCCTTCAGAGGAGAGCAGAGGCAGGTATGGTTAGTCTTTGATTCCCATATACGCATGTGGGCATTACCATGAACATGTACTTTTCCATTTGCCCTCTTTTCTGTTGTTTGTTTCTGAATAAACCCATTTTCCTGTTGAAATAACTGATTACTTTTTCCTGAGGTCAACAGTTTGTTGTCCAAATTGTTCATTCCACCTACCACCTGAAAATGCTTCCCCTAATTCCATATCCTTGCCTGGATGACTCCCCCTATTAATCCTTCATATCTCAACTTTACCTGACTCCCCAAGCCTGGGTTAGGGGCTTCTCTGCTGCGTTCATCTAAAATCCTGCATTTATCCTTTATTGGATGGTCACATTGTATTGTATTTAAAACCTGTTCACTTTTCACATCCTTTATGTATCTATGTATCTTGTCCTGCCTATGTAGCCTAGCACCGAGAACAATACTATACATAACAGGCCTTTCATCAAAGTGTATTGAACAAACAGAAAATGACTCCCCAATACAAAGGCAGACCCACCAGTAAAACTGACAGTTTTAGACACTATGTCTTGTTCTGCTTTTCCCATTCAAAACAGTCCACTCCCTTGATTAGATGCTGAATTTAATAAATGTTTTTGCAGGACAATTTTCAGTTTTATAAAACCCTTTCACCTAAAGTTTTGAATCCTCACTTGTCCCCTCCACTTATCCAAATTCTCCCTGGCTCTCAAGGATCCATAAAGTACCCTCTTCTCACCATAGGACTCTCCTGATGCCTGATGCCATATTGCTTGCTCGCTCTTTTTTATTTTTTCAAATTTTCATAGCTCTTCATTAGCATCTTATACCCTAGCTTGTAAATACTACCTTACCATTCTTTAATTGTTTTATATTTAGCCTATCCCTCATTTAAACCATAATTTCCCTAAACACCAAGATAAGTTCTCAGGCTTTTTATTAAATGTATCATAGAATCTGCAACAATACCCATTAAAGTGACCATCCCTGTAACTCTTGTCATATATTTCCCATTGAAATGTATGTCTTACTCTCTTTGTATCACATATCCTTTTCCATACTACAGTCCAGATTTGGACCCTTTGTGGCCTAATCCATGTCTTTTTGTCCCCCAAATGGAAAATGGTTGCAGCTAATGACAGTGATGATGGTGGTTTATCTTCAATTAATATTTATTAATTACTTGGTTCATTTTCCATGGCAAATGTATTTCTAATTCGATAAAACCATGTGTCCCCAATCATCTGATTAGTGGGGAACCAGGAGCCTGAAGATTTCACGTCCCTTTTGTCATTTGCATTTGTACTTGAGTATCTCCATTTGGGATACCCAAGGGCTTCGAGGGTGGCACCCACCTTGATAAGGTGCTCCTTTTGACAGAAAGAACGACTGTCTACTCCAGAATATTTACCTGTAAATAATTCTTTTGTAATGAGGAATACATATCTTTGCTTAATTCAAGTCTCTGCATAGCAGACAGCAAGTAGTATTTAATTACCCCAGCTGCTGATTCTTCCTTGTTATTATTATAATTATTTTGAGATTTACAGCTATAATGAAGACAAGAAATTAAATCCTGGCACTCTGCTGCAGTCCCAAGATATCAAGATTAAGTTTATGATTAATAATATTCATACATCAGCAGCCTAAGATAACAAACACCATCATCACTCTATTGTTGGGTATCTTGGGATCTAAAATTACTTGTCCTACATTGAGTCATAAAGATACATGAACTTTCTATTCTCACATAAAGACCTCACCTCCTCTAGACATATAAGCCCCTTTGTAGAGACAGGCACATGCAGGATGTGCTTACCCCATAGAACATGTCAGCAGTGACAATTCCATCCTTCTGATAAGAAAAGAATTTGTCCAGAAATCTTTGGTTAGTATTCATATCAGTACAATGCAATATCTGTTCTGAAAATAGTGTTGAAATTTATCTATAGAACTAATAATTCCTTTACTTATTTGATAATTGCCCTGCAATCTTTAAGGATCTCAAAACCTAGATTCCCGATCTTGAGTAAAATGGAGAACAAAGTATAACATGTTCCCTCCCTACCTCCACCTCCCTAATTAATCATCTAATTTTTATGAGTACAGTGGCAAGTTACATAATCTTTCAGCTTTGCACAGCTCTAGGAAGGACCTTTCACATCGGCCCTTGGTGTACAACATAAGACACTAAACATTGTAAACTTATCCCCTTCACATGGCAGATGTGCACACCTCTTTTCTCCAGGGAGGTGAGATTCAAGCTGCCTGCACTATGACTTGGAACTAGACCGTGCCGATCTGTGCAGGATAAAGATTTTGTACCATCCAATTTTTCAGGTTAACAATTGTATTTTCCCAACCATACCAGCTAGGTATATCAAATTTAATGGAGCAGTAGCAGATAATGGAAAGAAATGTAGAGCTTACTACATGGTCTATGTAGTGATATTAATCTACTGGTAAGGACAGGTGGGGATGATTCATACAGCGTATGCTTGTACTTACTTAGAATGTCAAAGAAAATGGTACTTACTTAGTGTCTATAGAGTACCAGACAGCTTATATTTTCCCATTATATGTTTACAACGCCAGTATATTTTCTCATTATATGTTTACAACTCCCTTGTAAAGAAGATACACTTACCCCTATTTTAAAGTTGATAAAACGAAGACTCAGAAAACTGAAGGAACAGCACAGCTCTCAGAATTCTTTCTATGACATCACGCTGTTATTCCAGAAGAGAACATTTTAAGAGAATCATGAGTATATGCTATAGTAGAGCTGATAGAAACATGAAAGCTACATAGGCAATTTTAAACATTCCAATAGTCACATTTTTAAAAGCAAAACAGGTACTAATATCAAGATTTTATTTAACCCAATATATCAAGTATATTATCATTTCAACATGTGAAACAATTTTTTTTAAGATATATTTATTCTTATACAAGAGCAGGGGTACAAGGCAGATCGCAGGAAGGTGAGAGGATTCACCAGAGACAGAGAGGGGACCAGAACAGGCAGACGACCGAAACTGCTGAGGGGAGCAGCGGGTGAGGCAGGAGAGGTCTGCCACGCCATGTGAGAATCTCCCTGGCCATTGGGAATTGAACCCGTGCTGCTGGAGCTGCGGACAGCTTCACAGCACTGCGCTCAACCCGCTGCGCCACCAGGGAAGCCCATGTGAGACAATTACTGAGACTGTTTTTCATATAAGCCTTCAAATCTTGGTGGATATTTTACATTCACAGTACATTTCAATTTGGACTAATATATATTTTTAGCTAATACCACATTTCAAGGGTTCAATAACCACATGTAGCTAGTAGTTGTCATACTGAACAATGAAGCTCTATAGTATATTATATTCCACTAAAGGAATTAAACAACAATAATAATCATTGGTGAGACTTAGTGAAAAGTTCCCTTTGCCATTCTTCCTTCCTTTATCCACTGCATACTGCTGAGCACATAGTTTACAAGAAACTCTGGGAGATAGAAAGAAAATTGATCCATAATCCATGCTTTCAGCAAATTCATGGTTAAATTGAAGTTATAAAAATAATCAAAAAATAATGAGAATGGGAAAAGTTAAACATAGCACAAGAGAAGCACAAATAGATAAAATGCTACAGAGCTTCAGCAAAAAGGAAGACTCCTTCCAGCAGGAAACCAAGGAAATTTGGAATGGAGGGTGACATACAAAGGAAAGAGCTTAAGCAAAGTTGCTGGGGTGGGGGGCGGATGAACTGTATCTGATGAACAGTAAAATGTTCTCTAATTTCAGAACTTAAAGTGAGTTAGAAGGTGGAAGAGGAAAGGTTTGAGGGCCAACATCTGCTGTGGCTTTTGATAAGGGGACTGACACCATCTTCAGAAGTTTAATCTGACAAAACTGTAGATAATTTGGAAGATATATTGAGATTGTGATGGGACTTCTGTATTCATCTGGGAAAAGATTACTGAAGCCAGAAACTAGAAGAAGGAGACTGGAAATAAAAAGGACAGGAAAGCGCAGGAGGTGCTATTAGAGATTGAATTAACAGGAAGGCTAAACTGCATGCAATGAAAGAGAGAATAATCCATGATGCCAAGTGTCTTGTGTAGGACTAATGCCATCAACAGCAGCAAATACATGACAAAGAAAGTAGAATAAAAGATTTGGGAGGGAAGGTGATGGCCCAGTTTGAAACTGAATTTTATTGATACCCTTTGTTGAATAAATAAATCAATAATTATATTTAGATACCTGAGCGCCTCAAGTACAGAGAAAATGAGCTAGTGTTTAGGGGAAGTGGAACTTTGTAAGTTTAGGCAAGCATTCTCACATTTCTGTGTTTCAATATCCTCAAGTATAAAATCTCTCTCTAGGGTTCAGATGACAGTCAAATGAGTTGGTACAGCTAAAAGTTTAGAACAGTGCCTGATATGGAGTAAGTACTCAAGAAATGCTAGCTAGTATCATTGCTAATATCACATCAGTTTTTCCTTTTGGGTGATTAGTCAAGGCCTACTTGTCACTTGTCCCTGTGGCAACGAAGATCTCCCTAACATCTTATTTCTATGTGGAAGCCAGAATCAGCAAATGCTTCTTAGATGAGGCAAAGATATTCTATAAGTGTCTTCTACTTTGTGGACAGTTCTGCCTCTAGGCAGAAGGGGTGGTGTTGGTGTGAGAATCTCAGAGTTGGGAAATGCAATACTCTCTGGAACATGCACTAAATTTAATGGCTTGACGGAGTCAGCTTGTACCAACTTACAGGACCAATTATTAATTTTAAGAATTTTTTGGTTGGTTGCTGGACATAGCCATTATTAAAAATGAAATTTTATAAGATTACAGAGAGATAAAAATATCTACACTAAACCAATAAATATAAAAATTCTGATTATTCCAATTATTAATTTCTAATTATTTTGCTATTATCTATCCTCTCAAGTTATTCTTATGTATTGTATCTGCTAGGTAGAAATACTATATAATATGGTGTGCCATTTCTCATCTCTTTCCCTACATTCAGTTGTATCACATTGTTAGATTGAAATCAGTGAGAGTATTTATATCACAAAAATTGGCAAAAGCTTCATGACCACTACCTCACACCATACACAAAAATCAACTCAAAATGGATTAAAGAACTAGGCATAAGGCCTGAAACCATAAAATACATAGAAGGAAATATAGGCGAAACACTACGGGATTTGCACATCAAAGACATCTTTACAGACACATCACCCAAAGCAGTGATAGTGAAGGCAAAGATAAACAGCTGGGACTACATCAAATTAAAGAGCTTCTGCACAGCAAAAGAGACAATAACCAAAACAAAGAGAAACCCCACCAACTGGGAGAACATTTTTGCACCCAACACTAATGATAAAGGACTGATCACAAAAATCTGCAAAGAGCTGATGAGACTCAACAACAACAAAGAAAATAATCCAGTCAAAAAATGGGCAGAAGAGCTAAAAAGAAACTTCTCTGAAGAGGAAATGCAAATGGCCAACAGACATATGAAAAAATGTTCAACATCACTTGTAATCAGGGAAATGCAAATCAAAACTACCATGAGATACCATCTCACACCAGTGAGAATGGCACATATTAAAAAAACTAGCAACAACAAATGTTGGCGAGGGTGTGGAGAAAAAGGAACTCTTGTGCACTGTTGGTGGGAGTGCAAACTGGTCCAACCACTATGGAGAGCTGTGTGGAGATTTCTGGACCTACTAAACATAGAGCTTCCATATGATCCAGCAATTCCACTCCTAGGTATTTACCCAAAGGACACAGAAACATCAATTCCAAAGAGCACCTGCACTCCTATGTTTATAGCAGCACTATTTACAATAGCTAAGCTTTGGAAACAGCCCAAATGCCCAAAAATAGATGACTGGATCAAGAAGATGTGGCACATATACACCATGAAATATTACTCAGCATTCAAAAAAGATAAACACATGCAATTTGCAGCAACATGGATGGCATTGGAAGGGATCATGCTCAGCGAAATAAGCCAAAAAGAAAAAGAAAAATACCGGATGGTCTCACTCATAGCAGGAATCTAGAAAACCTAAATAAGGGACCAGGAAAATGAATATAAGAAAGTGAAAATCAAAATCAACAAAAAACTATGAACCAGAGACACTTTTTGGGGGGTGGGGCGGGAGGGGAGGGATTGGGGTCAGAATGGGGCGTTTGCAATTGTATGGGGGAATATAAAAATAAAATTTATTATTTAAAAAAAAATTGGCAAAAGCTTGAAATCAGGATTTGATTTATTATTGTGTTGATTGTCTTGGTATGAGAATGGCAAACAATGTTCATAAACCAAATGTAGACCATTTGTATATAGTTTATGAATTAAAAATTGCTTTATATTTTTGTGAAAAAAATCAAAAGAATAATATTTCATGACATGTAAAAACTATGTTAAATTTGAATGTTAGTGTGCATAATTAAAGTTTTATTGAGGGCCTCCTTGGTGTCACAAGGGGTTAAGCACAGCACTGTGAAGCTATCCGCAGCCTCTACAGCAAGAGCCTCTACAGCATGCTTCCCAACCAGCCAGAGAGGCGCAGCAGACCTCTCCTGTCTCGCCCACTGCTCCCCTCAGCAGTGTATTTCAATCAGTCTGCCTGTTTTGTTCCCTGCTCTGTTTCTGGTGAATCCTCTCACCTGTCCCCCACATCTGGCCTGTACCCCAGTTCTAGTATGCAGAAATAAATAAATCTTTTAAAAACAAGTTTTACTGGGCCTCCCCGGTGGCGCAGCGGTTGAGCGCTGGGTTGCGAAGCTGCCCACAGCCTCTGCAGTGCTGGTTTGATCCCTGGCTGCTCCCCGGCCACCGGAGGAGGGTCCCACATAGCGCCCGCTGCTCCCCTCAGCAGTGTACTTCGGTCCTTCTGCCTGCTCTGCTCCCTGCTCTGGCTCTGGTGAATTCTCTCACCCTCCCGCGCTTCTGACTGTACCCAGTGCTTATATAAATAAATAAATAAATCTTAAAAAAAAAAAAAAAAAGTGTTACTTGCATCTATTAAAAAAAAAAAAAACAAGTTTTACTGTAATGAAGTCACCTTTATCTGTTTATTTCTTTTGTTAAAAAAGATTTATTCATTTGTACATACAAGAACTGGGGTGTAGGCCAGAGGTGCAGGGGATGAAAGGATTCACCAGGGACAGAATGGGAAGCAGAACAGGTGGCTCTACTGAGGGGAGCAGCAGGCAAGGCAGAAGAGGTCTCCTGCACCATGTAGGTTAGCTCCCTGGCCAATGCCACGGTGGCCAGCCATAGTTTGATAGCACTGTGACTTAACCACTGTCTCACTTTATTTATTTTTCATTTTATATATATTTTACATCATTCTTTCTTTTTGTGCAATGTATGCTTTCTCCTCCCAGGTGTAGTCCCCATAGAATTCCCACCACCAATTCACCCGTGTAACATCATCATAGTCCCTTGTGTTCTTCCCATCCATTTTGATTCCTTTCCTTCTTCTCCCCTGCAGAATGTCTCTGATTTATATTTTCCTGATAATTTTTAAAATTTATTATAATTATTTTTTCCCAATCCCTTATTTGTTTCCCCTACATCCCTCCTATAAGTGAAACCATCTGATATTTTTCTTTTTATTTCTGGCTTATTTCTCTTAGCATGAGCCCTTCTAGCTCCATCCATGTTGCTGTAAATGGCATGA